CCCGCCCGCTTTTTCTCCCGACGTCGTACCCAGTTTCTCTTAGAAGGTGGTAAACGGCGTCACCAACCACGCCACGGCCACGCCCCGCCACGCTCTCGGTCCAGCCGTGACCCAGATCAGAACCACGCCCCGCCCAACCTGCCTCCTCCGCCCCGCTCGCCTTAGGGTGCCCCCCCCCCACCCCCCTACCTCCGGGCAAGCCGTCGTCCAGCGCGCGGCCCAGCGGACAAGAACAGTCGGGCGAGCGTCGGACGTGCGGGAAATGAAGGCGGAAGTTTCCGGTGGTTTCCCGGCTTCCCCTGGTTGCGGCGCGGTATAGCGCGGGATTCTAACCCCGTCGCCATGTTTGTAATAATCCCGTCAGTGTCAGGAGAGCGCCGGGGGAGAGCAGCGCTCGGGGAGGGCCGGGCTGGGCCGGGGGCGCGGGGGTTGAGCCAGGGCAGCAGCAGAGAGAGCGCCTGGGGAGCGCAGAATGGGAGACACAAGCCGAGCGGAGCGGAGCTGAGCGGAGCCGGAGTGAGGCGTGACCGGCCGCGGCAAGGACAAAGCCGTGACAATAAGACACAGCACGACGCCGCGGCGCGCCACACGAGAGCAAGGTGAGAGGGGGAAAGAGATGAATGGGGGAGATGCCTGGAGGGCAGTAGATAACTGGCGCACCACAGCGCAGCGCAGCGCACTGATTGCCTGCTCGCGCGCGCACACACGCACACACACACACACACAGTTATTACCCCGCATTACGGGGTACTTGCGCCGCTGTGGAATCCGTATGGGTAATAAAAACACTCTCGAGGGCGGCACACAGCAGTGCGCCCGGCCAGGCCCGCAGCGATAATTTGACCACATTGTCGCCGTCCCTCAGCACTCCTCGCCTCGCCCCTCCCGCCCTTCCGCTGGAAGCGTAGCAAAGGGAGTAAATCGTGACAATCCGCCTGAGTAATGGGAAAAGGGGGTGAAAAAAAACACACACAACACGGACGCGGAGAGGAGCAGCGCCCAACGTTGTTGTTTTGCTGTAATAAACTCCTCCGAGCAGAAAAGACGACTACGTCCACTGGAGACTCGCGAACGCCTTCTTCTCCCATCCCACGAAAACCCTTTCCTCGGGGTTGTTCGCAAGGTTATTTCCAGAGGTTGGGGTCGTTTTCACGGTCACTCAACTCAATTCACAGTTACAACCTTACGAAGCAACAAAATGACAAATCCTTCGTAGGTACGAAGCAAATACTTCGCACCTACGAAGGATTTGACATTTTGCTTCGTAAAGTTTTAATATAGGGGTTGTTTAAAAAAGTGTTGGCGAGATTTCATAGTAAATGTATCCCCATTTGGGTAAAAAAAGTTCCCTTCAGGAACGGATCGTGAAAGCAGATGATGCAAATTCAAATATTCTCTACAATTGCAAAGCATCACTTTGTAATTGCAAAGTAAATGCTTCGTAGTTACAAAAGACCTAAATACTTCGCAGTTCTGCAAAGCGTTGCTTTGCAGGAATTCAATAGTGCGGTTTGAAGTAGGGGTCCGCGAACTATGGTCTGTCACCATAGCACTCATTTATGACTTGCTTACAATCCAGCGTCCTCCAGCCAAGCCAGCCGCGTCTTTATTATTTCATTATCGAGAGTCAAAGCCGATGACACCTTCCTTTACAAATATTCCTTTGCTAAATTCCTGGTGGGGCAACTTTATCAATGCGTACTCTTTAAAGTCCTCTTTATCAACCATGAGTAGTATTTACCCCCCCCCCCCTTTTTCCCTTCGTGAAAATGTCGTAATTTGTGCACGCCCCCGCCTTGACTCTCGGGGAGTGCGTCTTCCCTCCTCCTCCACTCGCTTGATTGTCACCCCCATCATCAGAGTGACCGAGAGGGGCCCCGCTCCGCCCCGCTCCGCCCCGCTCCGCCCCGCTCCGCCCCGCTCCGCCCCGCTCCGCCCCGCCCGGGGCGAGGTGACGGTCACCACGTCATCAGAGAGGCGTGTTCGACTAAATGGCTACGACAATGGCAGCGGCAATCCCCCCGGGCCGGACGCGACCGGAAGGCCAACCCCGCCGGGCCCCGCCGGGGGGTGGGGGTTGGTGCGGGCGGGGCCCCCGGAGGGCGGCACTGACAGGCCTGACAGGCGCCGTGCCCGGGGCTCATCGTGCCCAACGCACCGTGCACCGTACACAATGTGCCCGCGCCGCACCGGCAAGTCGAGAGTATACCGTGGCTAGTTTAGGGGTCGTCGAGAAAGCCACGTCCGTTCGGCAAAATTACGCGGGAGCTTGGGCGCCTGCGATACTCGGGGTAGGCCACCCCGCAGCACACGCGTGCACTGAAGGATGGATGTTGCCTACCCAACAGGCGCTCAGGAGCGCTTGCGCGTGCGCGCCTAACCTGGCAATTTGGAAACGGCGAATGTCGGACGTACGATCTGGATAGCCACTAGGGAAAGCGGGCCTCGGGCACCGCGCAATTTTAATCAATACAAAATATTGAGATAAAAACACCCTTAATACAAATTATGCGATGATACGATAAATTCTGTCACGGAAGGATATGGACATAAGTTTTAGTATTTCGACAAACTAGTTCTTTTCACGACAACTGCGAGCGCGAGGACGCCGTTGAGGGCGGAGGGCCCGGAGGGGGTGCTCGGGTCCGGGAGGGGGAG